GTTTACTCGGAACAAATGGGCCATTTGTTCTAAAGCAAATGGACTAAGCCAAGTTTAGAATTGGCCAACACAAATAATTTTGGTGTGCTTCAGGGTGTTGAAGCTGGCTGATGCTTGGCCTTGGGATGATTAGGGCAGGAGAATAGTATCTTACAAGAGTAAGAACCTCTGAAAACACAGGCAGGTCAGGGGTATGGATTTTGGATTGGTTTGCTTAGATATTGACATGGTTTGGCTCTGTGTCCCCACCCAGATATCATCTCAAATTGTAAGCCCCACAAGTTGAGGGTGGCTCTGGGTGGGAGGTGATTGGATCATGGGGGTGATTTTTCCCACGCTGTTCTTGTGATGGTGAGTGAATTCTCACGAGATCTGATGGTTTTCAAGTGTGGGATTTGCTCGGTTCGCTCTCTCTTCTTCCTCTGTGTAAGAAGTGCCTTGCTTCCCTTTCACCTTCCACCATGACTGTAAACTTTCCTGAGGCCCCCCAAGCCTAGTCAAACCTCTTTCCTTTGTAAATTACCCAGTCTCAGTTATTCTTTATAGCAGTGTGAAAATGGGCTGACATACATAAGAAAGGCACACTCTAATGAGAGTCAAAAAGCCCTCTGCTAACTCTAGGAATTCCAGCTGCTAACCTGCGGGAGTTGCAGTCCCTCCCTATTAACAAGACCTCAGATGTCAAAACATCAGATACAGAAACATGAAAACATGGATAATACAAGTTTTTCTGTGTGAACTTAAATTTTCATTTCTCTGGGATAAATAGTACAATTTCTGGATCATATGGTAATTGCATGTTTAGTTTTATAGGAAAATGCCAAACTATTTTCCAGAGCAGTTGAACAATTTTCCATTACCACCAGAAATGTCTAGATGTTTCAGTTTCTCTAACCCTGTAGAGTTATAAAGTGTATGGGAGGGAAGAAAGGCATTATTTGGATTATTAACACTGTAGACGTTTGGGTAAACCATGACAGTGATTTTTTATTTAGTGAGGACAATGTGCAGTACACTGAACTGGGAAATGGTAAAGATCCAGAGGGGAAGAGGTAGATAATTTTGCTCAAAGAGCCTTCAGTCCCTCAGTGGAAACAGACCTGTAAATGATGAACAAGAAAGAATAAAAATGGACGGTATGTGTACATTCAATCAATGTGCAGTGTAGGCACAGTGGAAATGCTAAGTATTTGAAATGATGCATATGTTAATTAGCTTGATTTAATCATTCTACATCATATACGTGTATCACAGTATCACTTTTTACCTCATAAATAGATACAATTATAATTTATTAAACTCAATACAATTAAAAAAAAGTGATGTTTAAAAATTCTGAGGGTGGGGCTGGTGAGGCCCGATGTAGGTAGTAATCTCTGAGCAGTCTTCAAAGAACGAATCTGATTTAAAAAGTAAAGAAAAAGAAGTGCAAAAGATTTAACATTCAAAATATTTTGTGTGCTGGGAGCACCAGGGGTATTCTGACGGGATTAGAGCATCGCAGAGTGGAGAGATGGATGAAGCAATGAAAGTGAGAAGCAGAAGTGAAGAAAGATCATGAGTAAACTGGGATGACCTGTGATGGAGCTAGACTTGGGTTGGTAGCTGATGTGAACTTGCTGAATTTGGAGAAGATGGATATTAACCTGCATTTTAAGATATCTACAAAGTTCACTGAAAAGAGTCAAGATCAAAAGTGAAGATAGTTGAGGGGAAGCTATTGTGATAGTTTGGGTGAAAGATGCCGAGAGCGTGAGCACATCGCAGAGCCTTTAAAATGTCACTGTGCTATTTTCTTTAATTAAGTCAACTGCAAAAAAATGCATGTTCCTTGCAGGCATGTGAGAAAACAACAGAAAAAATTTAAAAAACACCCTTGATCACCTTTCTCAGAAATAATCACAGCAAAAATTTTGAAATATTTTAATAAAAATGTTTGTAATCTTTTTAGCTACATTGTTATGTGTTCATGCATGTATAATTTTAGGCATATATTAGTGACAGCATATATGATGTTTATGTCATATTTATAACAATTTTTCATCAGCACTGTATTATAGCATCTTTAGTATATAAATGTACTTATTCTCTATCACTTAAATTATTTTCACTGTATGGAAATACTATAACTAAATCAACTTCTCCCCACTGCAGGATAGTTAAGTGGTTTTGTTTAATTTTGTTTGATTATTTTACTATTTCTAGCTTTGTATTTACATTAAAACTCCTCGTTTGCAGATTTGGAATAAGAAATAAGATTCTCTAGCCTGTAATCCCAGCACTTTGGGAGGCCGAGGCGGGCGGATCATGAGGTCAAGAGATCGAGACCATCTTGGCCTTCACAGTGAAACCCCGTCTCTACTAAAAATACAAAAAAAAAAAATTAGCTGGGCATGGTGGCACATGCCTGTAATCCCAGCCACCCGGGAGGCTGAGGCAGGAGAATTGCTTGAACCTGGGAGGTGGAGGTTGCAGTGAGCCGAGATCGCACCATTGTACTCCATACTGGCAATACCGCAAGATTGTCTCAAAAAAAAAAAAAAAAAAAAAAAAAAAGATTCTCTGTCTGTGGTGCTCTCTCTTGCCCATGCTCAGGGAAGATGAAGTCTGAGCTCCTCAGACATTCTGAGATACACACATTTTGTTGTGGCATTGCACATCGAGTGGCCTTGCCTCACTTCTCCAGCACTGAAAATAGCATGGCTTACGTTGAATTAGAGACCAATATGCTTATGATTTTCTAGCTGCTGTCATTTCTACTCAAGCTCTTTTATCCCATGTTGAGTTCCCAAAACTAGACTGTGCATCAAATTATCCACAGATCTTTTTACAAATGAAGTGCTGAGGACCCACCATAAAAAGATTGCAATTCAGTTGGTCTGGAGTAAAGTCAGGAAACTGTCTTTTGTACTCGTCTCTAGGGAATTTGATCATTCAGCCAAGGTGAAAACCATGCTACTAGACCTTTCTTTCCACGCTTTTACTGATAATAACTGTCTCCACTGGCTGGAAGTTTGCTTAAGTGGTGACAGAACAATTTAAGTTAAGATGGGGCTTGGCAATGGTGGCTTGATGTGTTCCTTTCTGGGAAGTTCAATGTTTTCAACTGAAAGGTAGCCAAACTCATGCAAACCAAGGACGGATTAGTGGCAGAAATAGTTTGGAGAAAGGGAGTTTTTATTTAAAAAAAAATTAAAACTGGAATTGGGCTTCTAGGGGTTAGGTATCCTACCAGGTAGGGATCTTTGACTTTTCCAAAGTATTTCCTGATCTCTCTGATTGGTGATGAAGCCTTTGACAGCCTTACTACAAAGGAGGTAAAAATGGACATTGGGGTGTACATGACTCTCTCGTTTCTCAGCCCATAGTCTGTGCAAGTAGCTGGATACTGTGATTTCATGAAAGACACGGAAGCATCTCGGAGTAGGGACAGAAGGACACAGAAGAAAGCCTCGTGCTGTTCAGGATAAATTTTGTCCATTGGCTTCTTTTCCTTGAGGCAACCTCTCAAATGCTACCCAAAGAACATTGACCTGAGGATGACATGAGGAAGTCTGAAGAAGTATGGTTTCAGGCCATCAACACAGGCTAAGCCATCACTGCACAGTGGACAGAGCCCCTAGGTGGATTTCCTCCTCACCTGGCTGTCTTTTTCTGTCATCAGTACCAGCTCAAAGTGCGTAGAGATGCACCCTCCTCACTCATGCCTCTTGTCCATGTTCCCTGTTAGGACTAAGATCTTCTGTAGACATTTCTGTAATCGATCTTGCTGCATTGCAGTCTTGTGCTGCCCTGACCTCCAGCTCTGCCTTTTTTCTTGGATCTCTGAAAATATAACTTAGGTCTCCTCCCTGTTTCTGGTATCACTTGCCTGAGACACATCCCCTTCTCTGCAGACTAGAATCAGCTCCCATCTTTCCTTCATTCCATCACAGGGGCTGAGGTATCTGTCTGCAAAGAGAGCAGAGTTTGCAGCTCCAGCCACACACTTCTCTATAAACGTCAAGAAATTGCCTGGTACAGGTTAATTTTCCCCATCTCTAGAGAAAAATACTACATTGTTACTAATGCTTACTGATACATTGAAAGCATCAGATTGAAATAAAATGGTTAGCTGCACTTTAAAGAATGGAAAAGGACCTGCAGCATCAATATTCATCTTGCAAAATCTGTGTGTCAATAATGTGGCATAAAAAACAAAGTTTTGCAAAAAAGGATATCGTTACAAGAGAGGATCAATATGACCTGCCTGGGAAAACAACACTGTGACTTCTCATCATTTATAATGTATTAGCTAAAAAGTCTAAACCATCTCAATCAGGAGACATGCCTTCAATTTTCTACACGAGGATCTGAAATGATGTAATGATTGCAACATTCATTACCTACCATGAATGAGTATGATGCTTAAATCACTCTCATTTAATTCCATGACATCCTTGGAAGGGAACTTGTATCATTCCTCATTTTACAGATGAAGTATCTCAGAGAGGACCTCGACTCAAAATCAACATTATGTCTCTGCAGGGCCTATGGGTTTTCCCGGCACACCACAGGTTCTCTCTGGTTCACTCATGTACAAAGCCCCAGGATTCTCAAAGCTTGCACCCAGTGTGGCTGCAGTGGTATTGCTTTCTTCGAATTCTCCTCTATTACTTCATTTTGTGTGAGGGAGACTAGCGGGTAATGTTTGATGCAGGTCAGTCAACTCCTGTCGACCTGACCATATTGCTGTTGCTGGAGGTTGTAGAGGTAGATTCAGGGTTTAAAAGAAGAAAAAAGCAAAGCAGGTAATGAGGGACAAAGGTTTACTTGACAAACCTGAGTGCCCAGATGGAGATGTACATTTCCTTTGGAAAATCTAATAAATCTCCATGAAGATGGTTTTATTCTCAGCATTTAACCTGTTATATTTTCGGAGATCAAATACTGCTCAACTAATTCAAATAGAGAGAGGTCACCTTAGTAGCATTTTAAAGACAATAAGGAAACAAGCTATAAAAAGAAAAAAAAAATGCGTCTTTATTTCTTATATCCAGAAAGAACCATCTTAATGTTTTGGCATGTATTGAGACAGACTAAAAGAGACAGGGAGAGACAGGTAGAAAGATACAGCCAGAAACATTTTATAAAACAGAGATTATAGATTGTATATATATGTAATTAATCTTTTTTTTAGTTATGAGAATTTTCCCTTCTCATTATCTTTTGAAAACTTTTAAAAATAACTTGATATTATATAAGCAACAATTTAATGATTGTCCTATTTGGGGTCATTTACATTTTTCAAACTTATTTTTTTCCGTTGCTATTATAAACACTTCAGTGAACATCTTTGAAGATGTATCCTCATCCACATCTTGAATTATCCACAACTTGAGTCAATAGAATTGTAGACATGTAATTATAGCTCCAAAAATGGCTCTTGATATATGTCATCAAATTATTTTCCAAGAATTTGGTGCTATAAATACTTTTACCACAATGTTTACGAATGATTGACTTATACATGTTTATGTTTAAAAGTTGACTGGTGTGAAAACTGTTATGTAATAGTTTTACATTCTATTTTTTCAATTACTGAGGTTGAACACAGCCCACATATTTATTAGCAATGATGCCTTTTTGGTAAATTACCTGTTCATGTCTAGAGGCAGTTTTTTGATAGATTTTCTTTCTATTGACACCTTGTATGCCAATTTTTTTCCAACTTGTAATTTATCTTTTAATTATATTTTATAAAAATTTTCAGGTATTTTAAAAAGCTAGATTTACAATAAATGTAACCAAGAAAACTCTACATAAATTTTGACCTGATATTGGATGGTGGAGAATTTTCTAAGTACAAAATAATAAAACAAATAATGAAGAGAAATATTAAATCGAACTGCAACAAAATGTAAAGCATTTGGTTTTCAAAACAATGTCAAAATATAGTATGTGATAAACAGCAGTTATAGAACTGAACATAGAGTATAATTACCATTTGAACAACAAATATCTAATATCAAATTTTTAAAAATTAGTTATACCAGTTTATATTTCCACTTCCCAGGAAATAATTGGAATAGTGAGTCAATTCCATATTTAAGAGAGTTCATACCAGCCTAATTTTCAGTAAAAACTAAACTAAACAAAACAAAAAACTGTTTATCCACCAAACAAGAGAATGGATTCATTGTACATGTTCATACCTGGGACACTTTAGAGAAGTGAAAATGAATGAGTTAGAGCATCACACACCATCATATATGAATAACATAAATAGAAGAAAGCAAGATATACAGAATAAATAGAGTGTGACTATGTTTCTATAAGGTTCATGCATGACTAAACAGTAAACTGCTGGGGACATATAATATGTGTAATTATATACATTATATATTATAATATGTATATAATTATATATTATAATATATAATATATTATATAATTATGCATACAATAACATAAAAGAAACATAGTCACACAATAGTAATTCTGTATATCTTGCTTTCT